ACCCCCCCCCACCCTCCGCCGTAGTGGCAAGAGGAAGTGAGGAGGAGGGGAGGAAGTAAGTAGTAGAGAGCTGCTTCCGAGGCTCTTGGGACAGGACACGCGAGCCGTCACCGTGGCCAGGACCGCTGACCCCGGCCACAAGGAAGCCGTGCCCTTTGCCACAACCAGGGTGTGACTCTGCCGTTCCCTCCGGGTGAGCCAGCCCAGGGCAGGTGGTGAAGACATGGCCTCGATGTACAAGTGTCCAGAGGTGCCTGGGACTCAGTGTTTCTGTGTCCTCTTAGGCCCACCCCTCCTGGTCCCCTCTAGCTTGTCTAGAAGCTCCTCAGTTGTTGAACACCTTGTAGGCCCCAAGGTATATCACCCCAGGGTATCCGTGACTCACCTAGTTAAAGTTGCCTTTGGCCAGGGCAGGTATCCCTAAAGCCCTCCCTGTTTCTCAGCCAAGTGTCCTGCTGTTTGCCCCTCCCATCACACTCCTTGTCCTGCCCAAAGGTAACAGATTCCACTCCCTGGCTTGGTGGTGGGAAGTAGGGGTGGTTAGCATTATAACTTTTCCAGTAATTAAACAAAAAAGACTTGATGGAACTCGACAGATTACTCATACCATGCAATGTATTCCAAAGTAATGGGCAGGTGTACGGGGTGCGTGCGTGTGTGCGTGCGTGCGTGTGTGTGTGAGCTTGGCATGTGGTACTAACTTGGTGATCTTTTATTTCAGCTTAATCAGAGACCCACTGTTGATGAATTAAGAGACAGAAAAATTCTGATACGGTTCAGTGATTACGTGGAAGTAGCGAGAGCCCAAGACTATGACAGGAGGGCCGACAAGCCTTGGACGAGATTGTCGGCGGCGGACAAGGTGTGCACCACCTCTGGGTGCTGGGGAGGGGCGGCTTCGTGGTGGGCGAAGCATCCTCCAGGGCTTTCTTCTTAGACTGGGGACGCCATCCGCACCTGGCCTGGACAGGGCTTCACAGGTGACTCGGGGTCAGAGTGGAGCAGTGGCTTTCACCTAGGGGACGGTGCTCCACTCAGGCACCTGGCATGTCTGGTGACGGTTTAGGTTGTCACAGCTGGAGGCGCTCCGGGCAGCCAGTGCGTAGGGCCAGGGATGCTGCTTGGCTTCTTACAGTGCACAGAACCACCTCGCGGCAGAGAACTGCCAGTCCCCAACATCGGAGGCAGAAACTGGGAAACCTCATCTCACAGATAAGTCCAAAGCAGGAGAGGCTGACAGGAAAGAGATCGGGTGACACTGAGACAAAATGAGCTGCGGCGGGGACCGAGAGGGAGAATGGGATCCGTCCGAGAGGCCCTCGGGAAGCCGCTGCTGTGCAGAGGAGGTTCGGATTCTGTCCTGGACTGGCCTAGTTCGAGGGGTCTCTGGGAACCTCCTACGGAGTCCGAGTGGAGTGGGTGGGACAGGATAAGCAAGGTGACACTGGGTCAGAGCCTGCCGGGCATGGAGAGGGCCTTTGCTGAGGACGCGTGGGGGCCTCTGACCCCTGAGCAGAGATTGAAGCCCAGGTGTGTCTGTCTGGAGTCCCCTTTCACTGGAACTTCTGGCTTCCAGTGATTTTCAGAACACTACGGTCTTTAGGAAGAGAAAAAAATGACATTCGGCTGATGAGCTTGCGAATTCGCTCCTCGGTCTTCACCCTTTATATGCTGAGTGTGCACGGGTGAGCGTACACGGGTATCACACCAGTTTGGAGACACAGATGGGCTGGAGTTGGGCGAGCTCTCTGGGCCGTTTGTGGTTGATGTGTTCAGAGGGTGACAGTGATGGGGAGGACAGCATCTTTGGCAGCAGTCATGGGCATGACGAGCTCCTAGGATTCTGAACTCAAAGCCTTTCCTCCCCGGAGGCTGGGCTCACGTTCTGCCCCACCGGGCCCCTGGGAGCGTGTCTGAGAGAGAAAGGAGCCTGGGGAGCTGGAGGAGGGCTGGATGCGAGGCCTTGAGAGGCAGAAGGACTGAACACACGCCACGGGCCTTGTAGTTCTTTGTAGTATGCCGGAAGTAGAATGGCTTCTGTCCAGATGATCTGCTCGAGAATTCCAAGGTCACCGACAGCTGAACCTTACCCCTCGCGTAGGCTTTCCTTCTGAGTGCTCGCAGCAGGCGCTTGGCTGCCCCTGAGGAGAGGGTGGGGGGCACCTCCAAACTCTGGCTGGCCGGGCTTCGCGGGGCTCGCAGGGTGACAGGGAGTCTGCGTGCTGAACGGTATGTTACACAGTGTAGTCGGCCAGGGTTGGGGACGGGCGTCGAGCCGTTGACACAGACTCATTTCCTCTGTCAACTCGTCAATGTCTTGTTTTTAAATTTCAGGCAGCAATTCGTAAAGAATTAAATGAATACAAAAGTAATGAAATGGAGGTACATGCATCAAGCAAGCACTTGACAAGGTCAGCTTTCTGTTTTTACGGATTTCGTAGTTCTATGGTAGTTACATGAACACACACTCAACCCACAGGGAGCCAGGCATCCAGCCACGTAAGTTCAGCCTCTTTGCACAGAACCATCTGGAACAAACAGAACACAGCTCAATTTAAAATGCCCATCACTGGGGCCAGCAAGTGGTATGGTAGTTAAAGTGCTGGACTTGCACGTGGCTGACAGTGGTTTGAGGCCTGGACCAGGCGGCTTGCTCTCTCCCTTTCCCTCTCTCTGTCTCTATCTGATGAGTGCACATGCCTTATAGCAAATTAAAAAATAATAAATAAAATAAGGTAACTAATTCTTTCTCAAATGTGTCTACTCCCATGTTTTGTTATAGGGCTTGGCGAAACCTGGTGAAGAGCAGTAATCCACAAGTCATTAGTTTCTTTAAAGCTAATGTATGTTTAAGAAGAGTACCAGAGCAGTAAAAGTAGTTCAGTTTTGTATTTAATTTCATTCTTCTCATATCAGAATTTCCCTGTGGATGGAGCTCAGTGCGCTCTCGAGCTTAGAGAAGGCCGTGCAAGTGCTCGCTCTTTGGCTTCTCGTCCCCGGCTCATCACACGGCCTTACACAGCCAGTGCACCCCAAAGCTGAACGCTCCCATTTCCTCAGCCAGGACCACCGTCCCTGCCATGCCCGATGCCATTTTCGGGGGAAATGTGGCGGCGAGGAGCCCACTGCGTGGGGCCGACAGGGACATGTGGGCCGCCCTCCCCTAAAAGAGACGTCCCACCGCAGCCACCACAGCGCCTCCATTGCGCTGTTGGGTATGGGATGCCCGTGGCGATAAAGGGCGTCCTGCGGATGAGGAAGCTGGAAATCCGGCCCTCCTTCTACTCATTGGGCTGCATATCCTTTCAGGAGCTGGCCCTGGCTCTCCCGTGGCCAGTGACGAGTGTGCCAAGTTCCCACATGCCGTCACGTGGAGAGGTTGGCCGAGATGCAGCAAGCTCGCGGTGCACCCGTTGCTTTGTCCTTGCCCTTTGTCCAAAGATGCTCAAGCCCCACATACAGACGGGAAGGAGGCCCTGTGTGTGGACCTGCCTCCGCCCAGAATGGTGACCCTCCTCCGTTCGCCCCGGAGTGGTCACCGCAGTCGTCACCTGGTGTCACCCACTCCGCCGGTGCAGCCTGTCTGTAGACGGTGGAGCTCCGGCAGCCCAGCGGGCTTAGGAGGGGTGTGCCAAGGGAAGAGGAGGAGGCTGGAAGGGCAGGAACGATTACAAAGAAGCGGTTTGTTTTTAAACGTAGAAAGGTTTCCTCCCATGACCAGCACACACTGGGGGAGAGACAAGTCGTCTTCTCTCTTATTACTCATGGCTTAGGAATGTTTAGGAGTAAGTGTGCTCCAGTCCAGAGCACAGTTAGGGCTGTTTGTAAAAGGTTTTGCCATGGGGTGCGTGCACTTGCTGAGGGTGGGGGCAGTGAGAGGGAAAGTGAGACGTCTTCCCAGAGAGGATGGCCGCACGACAGCCCTTCCCCTCCATTCTCCTCTGGGCTCTTGGGCACACACCTATGTGCACCCGGTATGATTTTCAAACCACCAGATCCAGGACTCGAACCGCAGTCGGATGTGTGGGAGTCCAGCACCTTACCACCATGCCACCTGCTGTCTCCATGTGTATAGTTACTTCGAATGTTCATTCTCTTTTAAGGAGATAGCATGTAATTACAACGTGCTCTCGTGCGGTATCTTAACGTGTCTCTCCATTTCACATTATTTAAACAGATGTTTTCTAGAGATATTTTTCTTTTCTCATAAGTTCTTAACAGCATTCTGAAATGGTCATTTTTTTTTAAGAGAGATTTTTGTTATGGGGCACGTGCGCTTGCCAGAGAGACAGAGACAGAGACAGAGAGCCAGAAAGCGAGAAAGCACCCCCCAGGGGGATGGCCACGCTGCAATCCCTTCTCCTCCATTCTCCTCTCAGGATTTTGGGCACACACGTACACACCCAGTGTGAGTTTTAAGCTGCCAGGTCCAGGACTCAAACCACGGTCGACAACGTGGAAGTCCAGCGAAGCAACCATTACACCATCTGCGAGATGACCAAATTTTGAGTGAGCCCAACACTTGAAAATACGAAAATAATTTTGATATCTTTATACCACATTTAGTACTTCACATCGGTTTTCAAAAATCAGAATAATACAGTCAAGTGAGATTTTCTTTAGTGTATTTATTTACTATAAGCATTATAAACTCTGATAAAAAACAAAACCCAAAAACCTCGTCACTATCATTTCCAGTGATTTTCTGCCAACTAATTGCTTGTGATTCAGGGAAGCCTCGGCCTCTCTGCCCTGGAAGGGTTTAACTAGCAGTCTTCACACTGGCCTCCGGCGGGTGCCGAGAATGGGCGTCTGGCGCGTTTTGGGTGCCAAGCGGCCCACGGCAGGGAGCCCTCCGAGGCCCCCACTACTTTAAACAGAGCAGGTCCACTCTTGGGGTTCACGCATACCTCTGAGACGTCTGAAATGTCAGATGTATTGTGGAAAGCTTTGGCAACTTTAACTGTTAGAAAACATGGTCTTGACCCTTCATTCTCTCTCCAGATTCCACAGGCCATAGAGATTTTCTTCTGAGAAGAATTTGTGTTTAATTTTTGATACCAACACTGAACATTCTTCAGGGAACTTTCCTGAAGGCAGCCCGGACCACCTGCTGTGCCCGTGCGGGGCAGGCTCCCGCGGGGGCAGCCGGCCACTCGCCCGCGAGGGGAGTAACCGAGGTCACACTGCCGTCTCGCTGGAGGAGTGTGCGGGTGGGCCGGAGAGGACTGGCGTGGCTCCACCAGAAGCAGCTGTCGTCTGCCTTCCGGCCTGTGCCGCGGCTCTGCAGAGTGACAGGGGACGGACGGGCGTGTGTGAGCTCACCACCCTCAGGCCTCCGCACAAGGGACATGGGACGCAGTGTCGTTCAGTATTGTCGAGAGACGTTTTTACTCTGATCACTTTAATTCAAACTCTTTAAGTTCGTGTTATACAAAATGATTTACTGTATTATAATTTTTCTTTTTTTATATAATGTCTAACAAAAAATACAGCTGCAACCTTTTGATTCCTGTTAATTTTGTTCTTCGATTAAATACTACTTATTGCAGGAAATGGACCCAGGCTTTACATTTTCTTGGGGCTGGGCCAAGCAATATTCTAGAACAGGGGTCTGTGAAACCGGTCTGCTCGACTGCTTTCGAAGCATCAGAATCCGAACACAAGAGAATTCCAACTTTTTATGTGTTTTGTTGTGTGAATTCTATTAGTATGTGTGGTTTGTGCCTTAGAAACTCAGGTGATCTTTTTCAAGTTAATTTATGTATCAATGAGTATTAAAGACTATATCTCACCTAAAAATAAGCAGTAACTTGTTGAAAAATTCTACCAGAAAGAAAATGATGCCCTCTTTTTTTATTATTTATTTATTTATTTTTAGAGGTTTTTGCTATAGGGCGCATGCGCTCACCAGAAAGACGGAGAGAGACAGACAGAAAGCGAGAAATCACCCCCCGGGGCTACGGACAAGCTGCAATCCCTTCTCCTCCATTTCCCTCTCGGGATCTTGGGCACGCACGCACACGCGCCCGGTGTGAGTTTAAGCCACCAGGTCCAGGACTCGAACCACAGACGACTACATGGGAACTCAGTGACATAACCATTACGCCATCTGTCTGCTGGTCCCGATGCTCTCTTTAAGAGCATCTTGAAGTTCACGTTTGCAAGCATTGTTTTAAAACCCTGCTGTCGGCGACAAAGGCAGAGTGGAGATTCTGAAGAAGAAACTATCCCAGCACAAAGGTCAGAGTTCACGCTGGCATGAAGCGGGAACGCGCTGGCGAGCAGCACACGTTCTTCGCGTGGCCTTTGACAGCGTGTGCTCACAGCAACGAGCCTTCCCGCGGATCGGGCCCCTGGGAGCGGGACTTGACCCCAGGGCCCGTGCTCGGATCCAGCTCTGGCTGCAGCGAGCTTGTCTCGCACGCACGTGCTGTCATGTCTAAACTGGGGAAGGGGCTGCCGTGCTGGGGGGGCACAGCACATTCTAAGTCCGGGGGAAAGTCCGCCCGGGGTGGCGAGCAGTGTGGCGGACGCACCGCCCGGTCTCTGTGACTTGTCCCCACAGAGGTGGCCGTGCTGCTCTCCGTCCTCCCTCCCTTTCTCCCCCGCCTTGAAGGCTGCCCGTGGAAATGCCTAAGGCTGTGATACTGCTTTGTCCCGATGCCGCACGCCTATTAGTTGAATTACAGTTTTTATTTCTAAGACAGTTAATGGCAGGAGACTCCAGCTCTGCCTCTTCCCTGCTCTTAACTGCGACTCATGCGACTTCCCTGAACCTGTCTCTTCGTGAAAGGAGCTGTGTCTAAGTCCTCTCGTCAGAAATTGCGTAAGCCCTTGAGTGCGCCGGACACACACACGCTCTGCTTTATTAAACCTGTCGGCGGCTCGTCCACAAGTCTCTCACTTTTTTCCATTTTAAGGTATATATTGGTACCTCCCGTTTTATAATTTACTCAATTTAAAATCGAGTTAGAGGCCGAATTACGTGAAGCTCTTCATCTCCCTCATGTAGAAGTAGCCACGTACTCGTTATGAAGCAGGGGCAGGAACGAGGTGCTACTGTTTTAACAACCCCACAGGCCACCAGAGCCCAGAGAATCAGCACTGCTTAGAGAATAAGCAGGTGAGCGACCAGCAGATGGTGTAGCGGTTACGCTGCTGGACTCCCACATGGCCAACCGCAGTTCAAGTCTTGGACCCAGTGAGTTGGAAATCACATTGGGCGCGTGTGCGTGTGTGCCCAAGCTCCCAGGAGGAGAATGGAGAAGGGATGGTGGTGTGGCCATCCCCTCTGGGGAGTGGCTCTCACTTTCCCTCTGTCTTGTCTGTCTCTCCCTGGTGAGTGCATGCACCCTAAGGCAAAAATCTCTAAAAAGAAAAAAAAATTAAGAAAGTAAGCAGGTGAAGGCTGTGGGTAGAGATGGCCTGGTGACCTAGAAGATGGGACATGTGTTTTTTTCCCAAGTCAAGTCTCCTAATAGACAAGACTTCAAATAAGAAAAGTGTAGGCTACCCAGAGGAGGGTTTGGGTTGCTTCAGACTCCAAGGAACTAAGCTATCCTAAAACTAATGCATAGTTATTGTTTTTAAATAATTACGTATTTGGGACCAGCAGATGGTGCAATGGTTATATCACTGGACTTCCACACAGTCGACTGCATTTCGAGACCTGGACCCAGCAGCTTAGGACTCACACCGTGTGTGTGTGCCAACACTCCCGGAGGAGATTGAAGAAGGAACTGTGGTGTGGCCATCCCCCCAGGGGGTGAGTTCTTGCTTTCCATCTTTCTGTCTATTTCTGTCTCTCTGGTGAGTGTGTGTACCCTATAGCAAAAATATTTCAAAACAATTTTTACTTTATTATTATATTTCTAAAATTTGTTACAGGACATGTGTGCTCACCAGAGAGAGAAAGTGAGAAAGCAAGCTGCCAGATCTAAGATCCGAACGCGATCAGTCATGTGGGAGTCCAGTGCCTAATCACCACGCCACCTGCTGCCCCGGCATTCATTCCTTTTCGTTGACGTTCTTGTCAGCAGTATCTAACTTTACCATTGTATTTTTACTGGTCAGGAACGATTACTCTAAGTTGTATTTCCATATTCCATTTTCTTGTCAGGTATTTCCAAGGGTTGAGAGAGAAATTAAACTGAGAAGCAGTGTATTGCTAAGTACACTTAACCTGCCCAAATGGAGATACGACCTTTCACCTCAGCGCTCTCCAGTTAGCTGAAGGGATGAAGCCGGGAAGCAGCTTGTCTGGATGGACCCCAGCAGTAAACCGCGCCCTGCGGGGCAGACTGCAGGGGAAGCTACCGGCCGACTATGCCGACTATGCCGGGTGGGCGCGAGCTTCTCCTCCGGGCTGGCTGAGGCTGGGGGCGGGCAAGAGACCTGTCGGGGTGCTGTATCTCTGTCTTTCTTGCGGTTCATAAATCCTGTGGTACTGATGACACGCCTGCATGTGTACAGAACATGTATAAAGGGAAAGTGTATCTATTTGAGCTTAAACGATGTCATGGTAGCAAAATGATGTCTGCCTTCTTTCTTTTTTATAGAAGAATTATTTATTTTATTTATTATTTTTTAATTTGACCAGAGACAGACAGAGAAAGGGAAAATGAGAGAGCAGTTCCACCAGGTCCAGGACTCGAACCATGGTCAGCCATATGGGAGTCTAGAGCCTCCATCACCATGCCACCTGCTCCCCCCCCCCGTTGCCTTATTTCAATTACAGAACTCCCCCTGACTATTAGTATTCAGTACTGAGGTGTTTATGCATTGACTTTACCGATCATCTGCTGCTATTTTCACAAAATAAAACATTATTAAAGTAACAATATTTAAATCATGAAAGAATAATGTTTTTAAAGGGCTTAAAACAGTTTTAAGGAACTTTATTGGTAATTTTGTGAGAGGAAGTTAAGTGTTTTCTAAAAGCAGCCACTAAATTTGAAGTGACTCTGCCAGGGGAATAGTACATTATGAGATTGTAAGCAGTGTATTGAAAACAGTGAGAAGGCACTTTGAAATGGTATTACCTGAGCGATTTTTGGACAACTGAAATATGGGTTGTTGGAAAAGTCATGACACAGTTTTTCATAGAAAAACAGAAAAAAATAAATCATGACTTTTTCTACAACCCAATAGAATAAAATACTTAACGTCCAAAGGTCCACCTTGTGGAAATATGTGGTAATTGCAGGTCTACGTGTGTTCTACAGATCGAATATGCCTTAGCCGAAATGGTTGAGACAGAAGTTTCTTGAATTTTCATTACTTTTGGACTTTGGGATATTCACATATATATAAGAAGACACCTTGGAACTCGGACCCAGGTGTAAACACAAAATTTGCTTGTGTCTCATCTATACTATATGTACACAGACTGAAAGTCGTTTTATATGATATTTTTGCAGCACTTTATCAGGTGTGGAATTTTCCACTTGTGATGTAATGTTAGTGCTCAAAAAGTTTTGGATTTGGGTCCAGAAGGTGGCATAATGGTTAAGGCACTGGACTCCTACATGGCTGACTGCAGTTCAAGTCCCAGACCTGGTGGCTTGAAACTCACACCCAACACATGTGCATGCATGCCCAAAATCCAAAGAGGAGAAGGTATTGTGGAGTGGCCATCCCCTCCCTCCCCGGGGCAGTAACTTCTCACATTCTCTCTCTCCATATCTGTCTCTCTGGAAAAACACATTTTTTCTTCAAAACAAAGTTTCAGATTTTGGATTATGATATTTGTGATGCTCCACCTAATATATATTGTAAATAAAGTCTAAGTTTTTAGCTACGTTATCTGTAGTTCTTCCATACCAAATTCAAGTTCAGAAATGCAAAATCCTAATTGTACATTAAAATCACTAGTCCCACTTGCTTATAGCTACCATTTACCCACTTTTTCTCAGTTTTTATATGAAAACATCTCAGGAGATATTCATAAGCACCTTAACTTATGAAAATCAAGGTGAATATATTAAAAATGTTTTTAAAAAGTGAGTTCTTATAATTACATTTGCTTATTTTTCCTGTACATTTACTGAAAGTGATATTAGGAATATGTTACTAGTTTATATTCAGATAACAATGTTTGTTGGAATAAACAATGGGAAAACTAGCAGTTATCAATTCGTTATATCAAAAGGTAGTGCTTTTATGTTTAGAGAAATGAGAAATAACCTTTTGAAGTGTCCAATCTCAACTGCAGATCTCTTGAAAGAGGCGAACAGGGGAATCTAACAATTACATTTTCTTGATAAGCAATAGGTGAGAAATCTGGATATACTATATATGATCTTTTTATTTATTTATTTATTTATTTATTTATTTTCTTATTTACATTTAACTGTCTGCTAATTGTTTTTTCTGAGCCCCTCATACCCACCTCCCAGGACAATGCTACACAAGGAGAAAGCGGGCGTCTTCTCGTCTCAGGCCTTGGCGGGGAAAGCTTTCCTTCCTCTGCCACTATGAGGTAAGCTATGGGTTCTTCATAGTGCCTTTTATCATGTTGAGAAAGTTCCCTTCTATTAATAGTTTTCTGAATGTTTTTGTCATGAAAGTGTACTTGGTTTTGTCAAATTTTTTTTATGGATAAATTCAAATGCTCGCGTCCCTCCCCATTCTATTACTGTGGTATACTACATCAACGTTCCTGTGGTCACCTTTGCATTCTTGCAGTAAATCCCATTTGGTCATGATGTAGAATCAATATGCTGCTGGATTTGGTGTTTGCTTTTTTTTTTTTTTTCTTCCATTGCCTGAGGGTATGTACACTTGCCAGGGAGAAGGAGAGAAAGCAGCACCTCCAAATAAGGTGTGGACATACCACAATCCCTTTGCCTCTGTTTTCCACCCTTGTTAGGATTTAGGGAATGCACACGTACTCACCCTAGTTTTCAAGCCACCAGGGCTGGAATTTGAACCACAGCAAGCCACATGGGCTCCACTAATCTACAGGGCTGGCCCTGGTTCGCTATTTTATCCGTGGTTTTTGGATCTGTCTTCACAAGGACTATTGGTTTGTAGTTTTCTTGTGTTGCCATTGTCTGGCTTCAATATTAAGATCATGCTGGCTTCATAAAATGAGTTAGGAGGGCCAGAAGGTGGCGTGGTGGTGGAGGTGTGGGACTCCCACATGGCAGACCGTGGTTTGAGTCCTGGACCTGTCTACTTGTTTTCTCTTCCCTTCTCCCTGTCTAGTAAGTGAATATGCCCTATGTCAAAATTTAAAAACAATACTAATAAATACAATTAAGTAATTCTTAAAAAAAATTAGGAATGTACTGTTTTCTAGAAGAGTTTGAGAACTGGTGTGAATATTTTTTTAAATGGTAGAATTCTTTGTTGGATGGTTTTTGGTTACTAATTTGATTTCTTTACTTGTTTAGATCTGTTTAGGATTTTTATTTCTTCTTGAGTCAACACTGTCTTGTTTTCTTCTTGTACCTGTGTTTCCAGAAATGTATCCATCTCATGTAGGTTATATAACTTGTTAGAATACAACTTATGGTATTCTTTTATAATCCCTTTTCTTTCTTTCTCTTTTTTTTTTTTCTTTTTTTGGAGAGGTTTTTGCTATAGGGTGCGTGCGCTCACCAGACAGAGACAAAGACAGAGAGGTAGAAAGTGAGAAATCACCTCCCAGGAGGGATGGCCATGCCGCAATCCCTTCTCCTCCATTCTCACGCAAACTCGGGCTTGCTCGCGCGCCCGCACACACACACACACACACACACACACACACACACTCCTGGAGTAAGTTTAAGCCACCAGGTCTGGGACTCGAACCGCGGTCGACTACATGGGAGTCCAGCAACATAGCCATTACGCTAACTGCTGGTCCCATCCCTTTTCTTTCTGAAAGGTTACTAGTAATGTTCCCAACATTCTGATACTATTAAAGTCTTGTCTGTTTATTCTAAGTCACTCTAGCTAAAGGTATGTCAATTTTCTTAACTAGTTTAAAGAGCCAGTTTTTGATGTTACTTTTTCCCTGTTTTTATGTTTGTCTCTTTATTTTCTGCCAGAAAATGCATGCACTTGCTGGAGGGAGGGAAAGAAAGAGAGAGAGAGAGAGAGAGAGACAGAGAGACAAACTGAGAAAGCATCCTCCATGGGTACAAGCCAGGCTGCAATCTTTTCCCTCTCTCCTGCCTTCCAGGATTTGGGGCACACATGTTCACACTCCTGCATGTTTCTCAAGCCAGTGAGGCTAAGACTTGAACCTGACCACAGGAGAGCCAGCTACCTAAATGGTTATGCATGTGCTGGTCCTTAACCCCATTCTAATCCTATTGTTTCCTTCCTCTGGTAGCTTTGAATTTAATTTGCACTTTTTCTAATTCTTTAAGGTTTCAGATTTCACTGATTTCAGATCTTTCTTCTTTTTAAATGTTGGTGTTTATGGCTACAAGTTCCTTTGAGCAGTACTTTCAATATGGTATATTGCATTTTTAATTTTGACTTTCCCAAAGTGTTTTCTAATTTCCCTTGTGAGTTCTTCTGTGACTCAGTGATTGCTTAACAGTATGAGAGCATTTTAGACTTTCAAGTAAGGGAGTGAGACAGTGTAATTTATGCTTTAAAAGATGATGTTGGCTGCTATGTGAATTAAGGCATTGTGGAAAGAAGAAATGCTTCAAGGTCCTGTAGGAGGTGGGTGAACTTGTGTATAAATGATGTTGATGTTGTCAGAGGTAGAGACAGTGGAAGTGGCAAAAGGTATTCACATGTGGTACATATTCTGGAAGAAGAATCTACAGGAATTATTGATTGATCTACTGCTTACCTGAGGGAAAAATAGACATCAGAAATTACTTTATGTTTTAGCTTAAACAAGTGGGTGGATAAAAGTGATGTTTACTGAGGTAGGAGGACAAAAGGTTTATTTTTTTCTTTACTTTGGGCATGAGAAAGACTGCTGAGAGATAAATCAAGAGATATTTGAAATGCTGATTACAATAATCAATAAAGTGGTACTTATAATATTCTGATGCTCAACGTGAGGTTCAGAACTTTTGTGCATTTGGAAATCAACACACAGATGGTTATGACATGAGCCTTAATGAAAATACCTAAGGAGAAAGTAGAGATTAAGGAAAAGCGAGACTAGGATTAGGCCCACATTAAAAAGCAGAAGCCAGGAAAGAGACCACGAGGAATGGCAGAAACGTGCCGACTGAGCCTGTAAGCGTGAGATGCTACCGAGGGCCAAAGAGGAAGGCAGGACTGAAAGACAGGGAGGTACAAAAGCTTGGAGAGCAACTTAGGTACTAGAGACAGTGGGGGAGGGTGGGAGTGGGTGGAGGGAGTGAGAGAGAATCCAGGGGAAGGAAAGCAAACGTTTAACGCACACAAATAGGGAAAATGATCTGTTAATGATAACGTGTATGGTAATATCTTTGGACTAATATGAAGTATGTTGATGCTGGAAAGTTCACTTTGAATGCTGTAAAGATGTATAGTAATTAAATGTAGAAAAAAGATTAGATATGGCAATAGAAATGACTGGAGACTTTGATAAAAGTAGTTTCAAGGGACAGAAAGTGAGCTGAAGGAAGGTAAGGAATGAACGGAAATAATCTGAGGCAGTAACTAGAAGAGTATTTTATTTTGATTGTGCTTGCTATAAATGTGAGAAAGAATTACATGGGAAGGGAAGTAGTTGGAGAGAAACTTGATGTCAAGGGAGGGCCTTATTTACTTAAGAAACATGGTGTATAAAAACCAGGAGAGATCATCAAAGATAAAATCAAAGATTCAGAGAATGAGCAGGATGAGACTGCCTTTAAACGGAGAGGCAAGTCTGCCATTAGAAAAAGACAGAAATCAGAAAATGCTGGTATTGATACAGGTGACATGTTACATTTTAGAATGGGAATGAGAAAACCGTGAGGTCAGACCATCAACTAAAAGGCTGATAACTGATAAAAGACATATTGATATGAACCTAATCCTCTGGAAGCGTGGTAAAGTCAGTCAAGTAGGGCCGAGTAAGAATAGTTGAGCAACACTGAGTACCCATTTGAAGGCTATAAACTGAAAGCCTGATTATGTCATTTTCTCCAGTGCTGTTTGAGTAGTGGCTAAGGTTGGCCAGAGGGAAAACGGCAAGAGTATTATTCTGGACAATGGAATCTAAACTGGGTAAGGAAGAACGGACAGACACAAAAGGTAGCAGGTATTAAGAAAAAAAACACAGTGGAGTAATGGCCTGGGACTACTCTAGAAAGCTAGTTGGAAAGACAGAAAAGCTGGGTGATAAAAATGTTGGAAACTGAGATTCAGAGGCAACACTATGATTGGTAATGACAAGGAGGTTTAGTCAGGCAGGGAGGAAGTAGGAACTTGGGTGCACTTACACAGTGCAGTGCGGGAATACTCAGTATGATGTGAATTAGGGGTCTTGAAAGTCTGCCTGAGACTGAGGTAAGCAGGAGGGCAAGTCCTGATGGGATTTGTTCTACAGTCTCACAGGCAGCATGGAATTGTAATGCCTTAGTCGTATTCAGTACTACAGCAGAGCCATGACACTTGAACTAGAAACCCCACTGCCACATCAATAGAGCTTAGCTTTCTTGAATTATTAACATCAGCTGTAAGATGAGAAGAGTTCCTTTTGCTTATCTTGACCAAGAAGCCACTTTACCACTGTTTAATCCTGACATGCTTCCAATACTCTGCTACTGTTAAATAGACAAGGGGTAGTGAAGCTGCTCTGTACTATACCTCAGGTGTTTGTCCATTTGATCCAATGTTTACCAACTAAGAAAATAAAAATTTATAAAAAAATTGTAAAATAATATTTATCCAAGTGACATAAGCATTTATTGCAACTTTAATATATCAAATCAAATAAAATATGTGCTCAGTTTTATAAATTAATCTACCAAAATATTATAAGGAATACAAGGAGCTTAGAAAGTACCCGTCAAACAGCCTGATTATGAGTTACTAAGACTTCTACTCTGAACTAAAATATTTAAGCAATATAGCAACTATTTTAGGCATTTAGTGTGTTCTAATACACTGGAGCAAAAACAATAAATTATATCCAACAGGAAGTACCGAGCTACCACTCAGGTAAACATTTTTTTGTAAGGGACTTCATCTAAGTGTGGCTGAATTTCTATTACTCATAGTATATTCTGGAATATTACATTTTAATACTATACTTCAGGCCAAAATTGTTTTCATTTAAAAATATACTTTGTATATTTATAATAAAGTTTAATTTATTAAAGAAGCTAGCTTTATAAGGATAGTGAAGTTGGTAATATTTGTTTAATGCAAATATTATTACAAAAATACGCTAATTCCTTTTACTGTTCGATTTCCCAAAACTTTTCCTGAAAAAACAGTAGCATCATGCACAGCAGTCCTTTCGGGCTTGGAGCATGTTATAATAGTTCTTTTTCATCCATAAAGAGCATTTTTAAATTTGGGGGTTCCTGCAAAGGTGTATGACTGGGTGATGTGTGTATTTTTGTTTATGGGCTACTCTATTAACAATTTCCTTAATTATACACAATGAGGGATAGTTAGATAAAATGTGTTGCTAACAACTAGATTTCACACAGTAACATTTCTTTCGTGAGCCATAAACAGTGACAGCAGTCCTCTGCGTACATGAAGGAGCTCCTCTTCTTGCTACAGCCAAAACAAAAATCACACTTAGATTGTACATTATCACTGTAAACCAGTCAAATAAAATAGGAAAAAAATCAAATTGCTATTAGTGATTCATTCCTTTCATAAAGATACTACATGTATCAGTGCTTATTCTACCCAACCGCCTAGAGTCTGTATCTAGAAACCTACAGAACTTTGCAATCGTGAGTATATTTGAGATGATCAATTGAGAGGAGACTTGCAATCTTTTCAATCCCAAATCAGTGAAATTTAGATCTGACTTTTAGAGAGAGGGCTTCAAGCCAAACTAGTTTAACCACAACACCCTGATCCCTCTGTTTTGGCATACTAAGGTTCTATTGCAAGTTCGCATTGGTATACGCTGAGTACAAAGATCAGAGCTAACATGTTCTTCAAGATGACTTCCTTCTTGGAGAAAACACCGAGGACTGCTCACTTGCATCAGGACTTTAACTCTCTCTCAGGTGCACTTTTCCCTGGGCGTGCAGCTGTACCTCCCAGGCCTTGGAATATTAACTATTATCTCCAAATCAAAGTACATAAAGTCTTGTCTGAGTGGTCAATAATTCTGTCACTGAACTACAGCCTTTCTGGGTAGATTTGTCCTGCTGCAGTGTATAATGTTTAGAAGCTACAAAGAAATCATTCTCCTAGCTAGTTTTTCCATTTGAAAGTTGATATATACATTCTTTTCCTCCTTAGAAGGAATTCAGTATTTAGACTGCTCATAGTCTTTCACTATAAATATGCTCCCACCATTGAATTTAAAGAGTTAAGTCACTGTGCTAAAACATTGCCCAACCAAATAGAAAAAGAAACATTAAAAGACATAAAAGGACGATTATTTGAAAATAAAACAAAACAAACAAAAAATGAACATAGAGTTCATTTACCATTTCCTTCAGAAGCCTGTCTTGCAGCATTTTCATGTTTTCTCTCATCAAACACATCTGTAAATAAGTAAGTACATTTCCCCATGACATTTTCACAGTAAGAGGACAAGTCAGACTAGCCGATATTAAAGAATTACATATGTAAAGTATAAAGTTTATACCTCAGATGTACAAATAGTTTCTTCCTGATCAGTATTATAGAAGACATTTTTATCCAATGAAGTTTTCAAATGATGGAGTCTAACAAGTGACACAATGAGTCAGTATTTATCAGGAATTCAAATTAAGTTATGATGATAATTATATATATATATAGGATTCCAGTGGTTAACAATGTCATACTAACCTGTGCTGTTCATTTTTTTTATATGCACTGAACTTTTCAAATATCCTTTCCCAAAAGTCCTAAATTTCAAGATATAAAAACTAGTTAACACTTCAATGCAATTAAAAATTAAGATCTGACGGTAGAATGACTATATTTCTATTACTCTGAATTTAAGTAAGGGCCATTTAGGTGGTGTGTGGTGGTTACGGAGGCTAGATCTCACATGACTGACCACGATCTGAGTCCTGGACCTGGTAGCTTGAACAGTGTGCTGGGGCATGTAAAATCCCAAGAGGAGAATGAAGAAGGGACTGCAGCATGGTCACCCTGCCGAAGGGTTGCTTTCTCACTTTCCCTCCTCTCTCTCCCTTTCTCCCTCCCCAGCGAGCACATACACCCTAGAACAATTAAAAACAAAATGTGGCTGTTGACTAAGAATATTCCATATGTCTCTTTGTCTTGACTAATATACAAGGTATTTTTTCTGGAAAAAGAAATGTAAGACACTGTAAAGATATATGTGACTCAATGTAATATAAATAAGATTATGATAATAAATAAAATTAAAAACAGAATACTATATATGTCATACTCTCTTAGGTTAAGAAGAAAGAAAATAAAATCTCTTGAGAGTGCTCTGTTACTGAAGATATTCAACATAAACCTAAGTTTGTACTTTAAGTCGGGTTTTTGTGAAGCGGACTAAAACTCTTAAACATCATTATATTCTTAGGAACAAAGTGCTTTAGGATGTGCTCTCAAAGCAGAAAGTAAACGAAAATTTTTGTAAGTCCACCTTTTTAAAAGCAACGTTATAAAATTATTTTTAAATTTTTAAAGTACAAACCTCAAATTCCTCTTCTAAATCTTTTAAAGACTGTGAATCTTTTTCAAAATTCTTCAGCTCCTCTACCATTATGAGTTGGAATTTATCAAGTTTTTTATTCCTATTGAAGAAACAAAATGAGATTGATTTTTAAAACTCCAGCATTCAGGGGCAGCAAGTGGCATGGTGGTTAAGGCGTTGGACTCCCACATGGCTGGCATGGTGTAAGTTCCACACCTGGCTACTTGCTTTCTTTCGCGTGCTCTCTCTCTCTCTCTCTCTCTCTCTCTCTGGTGAGCATGTGTGTCCTAGAGCAAGTTAAGTTAAAAAATAGTAATGATAAATAAAATTAAATAGTTCTTTAAAAAAACCCTATAGCATTCACAATATATGAATAGGCAACATTCAGAAGTTTTCAGAACAAATTATTACAGACCTCTGCTCCTGAATTTGATGATGTATTGTTTTCAGATGTTGTTGAGCCATCTTCCAAGACTGCTTAGTGAAATAATCCATCATTTTATGTCGGATCTGAAAAATACTAGTTTTTAACTTAAAGTATCTTTCTTTACAAAATAATAATCTAACCAAGACTATGTTAAGAGCAGAAAGTTTTCCATGAAATGTAAATGACTAAGAAAATTTAGAAAACTAAATAGTTAAAAAATCAGTTACTTAAATTGAAGTGTTAATAAGTAAGCTCAGTCAGAACAATGTCTAATTCCATCAGAAAGGATTTGACAAAGGGTTGAATTGCTAATTAGGTGTTTTCATAAAAACACCACACTTTATATATAGTATTTATTAAAATGCTAGTGATTATAATTCTCTTCAAGAACAATGCCTAAAAATCATATTCAAAATTACTTTTTACCCTTTTTCACAAACACATATATTCATATTCACATCTAGCCACAGACGTACAGAACATATAAACCAGAACTTCTCTATTTAGATTTGATTTGTCCAAGATCAACCTAAATAAATGCATGGAATTTTACTGGGTCATCAGGAAAGTCATGACACATTTTTGCATAGAAATATATGTCATGACTTTCCCAATGACCTAATCAATAATTTCAGATTTTACCCCTTTAATAATAGAAAAAGGCAAGCAAGAGATGTGGCTGATAATTTGTGCTGCAAAATATTTATATTCAAAGGAGAGGATAAAAGAACTGTCAATTCTAAACATAGGAAGGTGAGAGAAAGAACTGGGTGGGAAACATATTATTAATACTTGTAACTAAAGACTCCTCTTGGAGTCTCAGACACTGTTGGTCTCATGACTAGGTTGACATTTTTTCTCTAGTAAGAAGAAACAATACGTAAGTTATTTTCCTTGTGAAGTTGTATTATAACAGCCCTTAGTGTAAACTTGCTGTGGGGGAGGAACACAGGTCCAGCATGTTAGACCTCTTACAATTCAGACGGTATTGGGTTAGGTTACACCTGGTTAATATCCTCAGAAAGTCACTTTCTATAGAGTTTGCCTACGAAGTGGTTTTAAAATTGATCCTTGTATTGAAGTTTTTAGGTCAATTATGTATGTCAACTGAATTTACATGTAAACTTGTTTCCTCCCCATCAATAAAAGGAATATTTAAGTACAGAGTGGGCAGAAGAAACTGAAAAGGCATTTCTCTGACTACAGTTGCTCAGTTTTATATAACACTGCCCTCGCTAATGGTCATCTCTGTTGAGAGTTTAAAAGTGTTTAAAAAAGAGGCATGAAAAGAAAATTGTTCAGGAAAACAAAGGAAAAATCACATAAAAATGTTAAATTGGAAAGGATAAGAAGAAATTTTATGTAATGGTTATTTCCAGTTTTTCACAGGTAAGGAAGGCTGAGTTCATGAGTGGGTATTTTGTTGCCAAAGAATCAAGCAAGCCAAGCGTCTAGTAAAAAATATGGTATATTATCATATTATAGGGTATGAATCATAATTTAAAGGAAAATAACTCACGTGAGTCTTCCTCGTAAATTCTGAATTCAGCTGCTCACAAAATATCCTCACACCTGAGCGTTCACTGTTCAAGTTCTCAGTAATAAAAAAGTTGTTTGTTGATAATGGAGATACACTTTCAGATACTGAAAAATGATAATCAGCTAGTTAAAATAGGCATTTCTGCATAGTTAGCCTTGTCATTAGGTTGAGGACACTATCTTATTTGTAGTTCTAAGGATTGTGAAACAAAAAGGTAGATCTCATTGTGTTTTCTAAAATTTAAAAATGAAATGATTCTGATTTATAAAATTGAACTTTTGGCATGGCTATTAAGGCAGAAATGGCAACTTTAAAATGGAACAGTTGGGGATAACTTTTTAACTGCTTTGATTCTTCTACCTTACTCCTAACACAAGTATTTAGTGATACACTAAAGTCACACTCTAATCAAAGTTAGATGTGATAACATGTGACAGGATGACAAAGGAGATCTGAGTATATAAGAACCTTATTACAACATTATTCACATAAAGTGAGCTTTGTGATAATGCATCATCTGCCTTGGGATCACCCAAAGATGTCTTTACAAAATAATTTATTTTGTAGATAGAGTCATTCAAAATCTAAGAAATCTTCTCCCATATAATGGCATTTCAACACCGGCTTTTGATCTACCTACTTCTGTAGAAGTGAGGGTCTGCATTTTCAGTTTTACACAGTTTTCTGGGAAGCACGTTTGCTCCTTCTTCCTCCAATTCTACTTCATCAGGATTACTTAGGCTATCTTCCATGTACATTCGTTTATGACCAAGCTGTTGAGTTGGACCTTAGGAACATTTAGAAAATAGTAACAGGGTACAATTTTGATTTAAAAGTCCTAGTGTTTTCTTGCTTTTATCTTAGAAAGCACTTTCTTTCAGTTACTAATTTGCATTATTTTAGGCAACTATGCATTAAATTCTACTTAGTTTACTTTTTTTTGACATTAACTACACAGAACGATATACCTTAAAATAATAATTCCTTTAGATGATACTTCCCAGCAGTATTTCATTAACTAGTGACTCTCCAGAACAGTAGGCTATGGCTACAAACCTGATACATGGGTAGTGTCACAGGGCAGGTCGAACCATGTTTTCTCTCTTTCTTCACTACACATGGATAATGGAGATGCTAACTGGCTTTTCTAAAATACACAATACAAGTTGGGGGAAATTACTGTAAGTACTCTTCGATTCACCTTCGACCTTCATTGTCAAGCCTTAGAGCCAGAAAATTTCAAATGCTGTCAATTCTCTTCTCAGATTGTTTAGCTTCTACCCCATCCTTTTCATCTCTTACACGGACATATTTTGATAACCTAGATTCTTTGTCAGCCACAGTCCTACAGTGATAGTTTCGAATTGCCTTTTCTGATTATTCCTGCTTTTCAGTTCATCATTATTATAATAGGATTTTTATTTCTTTATTTGAGTTTTCAAGTCATGTCTTTTACATCTAATCGCTTTCAGTACACAGGTTTTTTTTTTGTTGTTGTTTGTTTGTTTGTTTTTAGAGGTTTTTACTATAGGGCATGTGCGCTCACCAGAAAGAGACAGAGAGACAGAAAGCGAGAAATCACAACCCCCCGCCCCAGGGGGGATGGCCACGCTGCAATCCCTTCTCTTCCATTCTCCTCTTGGGATCTTGGGTACGCACACACATGCACTGGCGTTGAGTTTAAGCCACCAGGTCCAGGACTTGAACTGCGGTCGACTACGAGGGAGTCCAGCGACATAGCCATTATGCCAATTGTTGTCCCGGTTTGTTTCTTTTTTGTTATTGTTTTTTATTCTTTTTTTTTACTAACTAATCTTTACTTAGGTTACTGTTCTCTTCCCTTTTCATCTTTAGGATCCCATCTATCCTTAGGTCTAATTCAAACCCCAGTTCTGTCTCAGCTATAAACTTCTATTTGATCTTCTGTCTTTTATAGGTTATTCAAATATTTTTATAACCAATAAACTTCTAAAGCAGCAAGAAACTCAACCGAACAAATTCCTATGCAATCGTGAAACCAGAAAATCCTAACTGTAAATATGTAACTCAGGTGTTCAATATCTATATTGTACTTAAGACGTTACTATTTAAGACATTACTACTCTCACTTTCACTTCAACATTGTCCTATCCAAACCATTTTACTATGACTAAGCCATTCAACATACTTTAAACATCAGATTTTTCAGGTAGTAGTTAAAAGTATTAGAAAATTATAATTATCAGAAGGAAAATTTGAAAGCTAAGCTACAGTATCCTACTTACCTCTCTTTTGCTTTGCTTATGATTTTCATTGGTATTTGGGGATCGAATTTCCATAAATTGCTTTTCTAGACTATAACTGCTTAAATCTGAATAGCTGTTACAATTTTCTGTTTCTTGGGTAAGTATAGCAGAATTTGTATTTTTTCTACTCCTGGTGTTTTTACTCTTCACTGGACTATGTCTGGGCTATGAATAAACATATAATAATAAAGAACATTTAACCAAAACTACATAAATTTTGAGGAAATAATCGATTCACTGCTAAAATTGAACACTCATTAATAATGAAAAGAAAACAAAAACACCCAGCATGGTAACACAAGCAGGAAGATGTCCTGCACAATGAGGCTACCCGGGAGTCCCAGGTTCAGTTCCTGACACAACCTAGACTGAGCAGGCGCAGTGGCACATGCCTGTGGTCCTGGCTAGCTAGGAGGCTACAGCAAGGGGACTGCAATGACAGTACCCTGTTAAAAATACCTCTTTCTCTTTTTCCTGTTCTCTCTCATGGGGAGTAAAAAAAAAAAACAAAAAACCCTTAACCTAGTAGAACATTAATCTGACGAGAAGTATCTATCAAAAATTAGGATGCCTACTTGAGCAGTTTCTATGCTCCAGAGGTCAAAATTACCTTAACAAGAAAAATAACCTGAAGTATAATAATTGAAACATAAAATGTAGTAATTACCATGAGTAACAGCGTTTGTCTATATATAAAATCCAAGAGAATTAGACAGTATTTGATATAATTCATCAAGGTAGTTGAAGATATAAAAATCAGTTTTAAAAAAAGGTTTTCTATTAATAGAGCAAAAATAAAACCATAGATGCTTAGGAATAAATCAAACGAAACATCTAATTTGCTTTGAGGAAAAATCTTGTAGAAAATAAAAATAGGAAATAGGAGAGTAGTGATGTGTGGATGAAAATAATCAATACTAATATTGAGAAATGGCAATTATTCCCTTAGAAAAACTAGTTCTAAAATTTCTATGGACAAATACAGGACCAAAAGAATTCTGAGGTAGAAGAATGAGGGAAGGTGAAACAGGTGTAACACTACACTAGGTAAGGCAGTGCAGTATTGGCAGACAGAGAGACCAGTCAGACAGAACAATGCCTCACAGCCAGACCCACATGGGCATCAAAACCATGACCGAAGCAGGCCGTCCACTTGTGAGGTCGCACTGAATGCTGCCGCACCACTTTGCTATTCATATGTGCGGAAAGGGAGCCAGAGAGAATGAAAACCTGACTGTTCAAATCAAAACTAACATTTTTA